GAGACGGTGGTAGGCCCAACCTATACCTCACTCCCACCCGCTAAACCATACAAACCCAGGAGGAGTTAAGAGAATTTTAGAAAAACAGGTCCAAATCTTTAGGCATCACTTAGGAAAGGAGAAATTGCATTAATAAGTCCTCAAGTTAGAACAATGTAAAAATAAATTTATTAAAGCCAGGTAAATTGGACATATCAACATGAACCCTGAACCATTTGAAAAAAATAAGATTCATCTGCTCTGTCACTAAAGTGGCTCTAGTACTAAATTAGCCAGCACTTAAATGAAACAAAACATGGTAATGTGCACCTTTCATGGCAAATTTGTTCCCTAGTAGAGCTCCCATAAAACAGAACCAGGGCTCTTTGATGAATCACTGATTCCAAGTTTGGTACAACAGAAACCAAGATAACTCCCACATTTCCGCTGAGAAAAAACAAAGGTAGTTTTTCAAAGACGTCTACAAGTATGGATTAGTCCATTCTCATGCTGCTATAAAGAACCGAGGAGACTAGGTAATTTACAAAGGAAAGAGGTTTAATTGCCTCACAGTTCCACATGGCTGGGGAGGCCTCAGGCAGAAGGCACCTCCCCACAGGACAGCAGGAAAGAGAATGAGTGCTGAGTGAAGGGAAAAGCCCTTTATGAAGCCATCAGATCTTGTGAGACAAACTGCCACCATGATCCAATTACCTCTACCTGGACTGCCCTTGACACATGGGGGTTATAATTCAAGATGAGATTTTGGGCGGGGACACAGCCAAACCATTTAAAAGTGGTTTAAAATTAGAAATTAGAAATTCACCTAGAAGAGGCTCCAAAAGGCCCAAGTGGAGCAAGAACATCAAGAAGAAAATTTTGGTCAACTGGTATGAAATGGGCTCAAAAAAGGCTACAAACCACGATGATGTTTAAAAGAGTCAAGTAATATAAAGTAAAGCTAAGCAAAGTCCTAACCACGGATATAAATTAGCTGAATACTGCTTAATTACAAAAACAATTATCTGACCACCCGTCTTACACCCAAGGGGCACAATATAGTGAAATGCATATATGGTGAAATGTAATTCTGGCCTTCCAACCAAAAATCCTGTTGGAACGAATTGGACTGAAATGTATAAACTAGAATCAGGGGTAGGCTCTGGAGGAAAACAGGCTTTCTAAAAATTCTAGAAAGTTGGAGAGAGATATCGTTCAGGTACCCATCTGGGAACAGAACTACTTTCTTCCCCTAGTTGATTACATAGTATTGCTGACCTTGATTTTGGTTTAAGAACTAGGGCATCTTCAAGTTTAGAAAAATTTTATTAAAATGAGAAGCACGGATACTCAGTTTTCCTGAATGAGACCCAAGTATAAAAGCCTATGGTATAGCAAAAATACATGTTTAGTTTCAGATCTGGCAACAGCCTACACATATACAAAACTGCATATGCCCATTAGGGAAACAGGACCCAGGGGGAAGTTTTGTTATTATAGGCTGCATTCACTTCTACCCTATTTGCTGAATCCACTTCTGCTACAATTCTGCATCCTTGGCTAATTAAAAGGGAATGTTACAGTGGGAGTGAGTGTTTTGGAGTCTCTCCCTATCAATCCATAATCAACCTGAAATACTGCTTGGCCTTTTATAATTAATAAATTCACATAAAAGTATACTGATTCTTATTTTTTCATTAAGTATTTTCTCAATAACAGACACTGAAAGCATAATATGCTCTACAATACAATACAGGATAAGAACTACTATTCTAAGGTATAGAATTTGGAAGCCTCAAACATCCATCTTTCCACATTAATGAGGCCTAGAATGTTTCACTGTTGTTAGCAATGAGAAGCAGCCCACTACATCATCACCCCAAGATTAGTTATATAGTCACAGGTTAACCCACAGAGCTCTTGCTTTGAGCTCTTCAGCAGATTCTGTGTATTGTGGTGTCCTCTCCTGTCCTAAGCCCCTGCCTCATGATGACAGGAAGGAGTTGCAATAAAACTGGCCTAAAGACCCAGAGGCTGGAAAAAGCATTCAGGCTGGGTGCGGTGGCTCATGCCTGTAATCCCAGCACTTTGCAAGGCCAAGGCGGTCAGATGGCTCAAGTCCAAAAGCTCGAGACCAGCCTGGGCAACATGGTAAAACCCAGTATCTACAAATAATACAAAAATTAGCCAGACATGGGGGCGCACACCTGCAGTCCCAGCTACTCGGGAGGCAAAGGTGGGAGGATCACTTGAGCCCAGGAAGCGGAGGTTGCAGTGAGTTGAGATCACGCCACTGCGCTCCAGCCTGGGCAACAGAGTAAGACCCTGTCCCCAAAAAACAAAAAATAAAAAAGCAATCAGTAAGTGCTAAGCAAGGACTCAGCTGTATTATTGAGATAAGTGTTAGAAGACATATGAAAGAGGGACAGATGGTGGAATAACAAGATCCGAGACGAGTTTCTAGAATGGGAGGTGCCAGAACAGAAGCCATCCTACCCACCCTGCTTTCCATTATGCACACAAAAAACACTGCTCTGAATAAGGTGCATATGTGAAATACCTAACACACACTTGACATAAAAGATGTTCAATAAACACTAGTTCTTGTTCTTCTCCACTAATCCCATTCCCTAGCATCAGATAATTATTTTAACAAATTTATACCAAGCTGCTCCTATGGATAGCCAAGTGCTAGCTGATAGAAATAAAAAGACAACAACAACAACAACAAATACTGTCCTGACCTAGTTACAATAATACTAAAGGAAAAATATGCAAAATCACATAAATTAACCAATGCAGTGTTTTCTCTATAAAAGTTCTTCCTCTCTTTTAAATAGGTATCTGTCTCCATGTTAATAGCCATGACTTCTAAGGTTTCTAAAACTATGAATAAAACTTAAATGTCATACTTTTCTGGAGGAAAGAATATTAAGAAAAAACACTATGTACCTCATATAAGATGTATAAAGAGGCCATGTTCATTGCAGTGAATTAAATATGCAGATCATTCTAACCTAATATGAAAGTTTACTAAGTAACTTGCCAGGAAAAAACATTGCATGCCATCTTCTCACCTCTGTTTTTCAGGCATCCCTTCCACTGGGCAGCTGTCTAGTTTACTCAAGTGTGAGATGGCTGGTGGGGTGCTATATTTTGCAGAAGTATACGGTTTACAGGTAGCTATTTGCTTTGAAGAAAAAATACATTTCCAAGGCTTCCAGTTTCATAACTACTATGTATTATGTTGTCTTTTCCTTACAAACATCTGTGCAACATTCAGATAATTGGGTTAGGAATATATCCAAGTGGAATCTTTGGAAATATAGCCAGAAAATAAGTTATAATGAATCATGCAAAAGGTGGTGAAGTGGACAGCGTGACGACACACATTGACAGATGAGCACACACTCATGTGCACACATGAAGGAGACCTTCCATCTGAAACACAGCAGTGACATTCAAAAACGGTGTTTGACAAAAACGCTGGCAAACACATGCTAAAATTTAGGTTGAAATAACAGGGATCAACTGTATACTTCCTGTGACATACTCTTTTCCATCTTTAAGAATTTTTACCCTATTTTTTTCAAGCAATGCCTATTCTAATTATAAACTCTGCTTGCTGCTTGATGGAATAATGTGTTAATAAATCAGATGAATTTTATACAATTATTCAAAATAATTTTACATCCAAAACTCAATAAACAATGAATAAGCTCATATACTTAAAATAATTAGCTGGGCACAGTGGATCATGCCTATAATCCCAGAACTTCGGGAGGCTGAGGCTAAAGGATCTCTTGCGCTCAAGAGTTTGAGACCAGCCTGCGCAACATGAGAACTATTTAAAAAATATATTAATTAAAAAATAATAACTTATGACACTAATGGAATAGTAGAATTTTCCTTAAAATGGTCCTTTTGTATGCTTTATAGCAAATAATTGGGAGAAATAAAAAATAAAGGACTCAAAAACCCTAAAGTGAGTAAAAATGGAGATTCTACTGAAGCAACAGTAGGTTTATACTTCATTTCACCTAAATTGTCCAGGCATCCTCCACTATTCTGTAAAACAACTGGGCCAGGCTGCCAAGTTAGCCTGAACTTTATTTTATAGTTTTCACTGCTATGATTCGGCAATTGCCCATTACTTTCAAATAATCAATGCATGGTTGAGAACACAGACAAACTACAGTTTCTGCTCTAAGAAGCATATCTCTTAGCATTCACAGTTGACACAAAGAGAAATATTTGAGTGAATCTGAACTTTTCTATGCTTGATAAGGAAAGAACATTTAAAGCAATAGGGGCAAATCACAATGTTCTTAACCAAAGTTGCCAGATTCTATAAATTCCTTCTGCTTAGTTCCCAAACACTTTGGGGAGGAATCCATACTTGGAGTCTCATGGAAGAAGAATGGATAAGAAATAGCTACTAGAAATATACTTCAGAAATAGAGTGCTAATAGTGCTTCTCCCAGAAAATGTAGCAAAGGCAATTTATGAACACGAAAATTTTTCCGTCATCAGGAAAAGCTGCCTCATGTAATGTTGTAAATTACATGATGTTTTCCCCCAGTCTTTACAAAGTGTACCAAGCTGAAAGCGGATCTGTAGGAGATAGTAGTTTCTAAATCACCTCAAAGTCAAATATTTTCTTTTTCATCATCATTTAGGAAACACATTAGTAACCTAAACCTGACTGAACCACACACCAGAGTTAAGAGGAATGAGTCCTGATTAAACACCTGGATCTCTTTAATAGCAACTTCAATATAATCATCAGTAACCACAGGGCTTTGGAAAATTAAAATGGTAATGCATGATCCCAAGCAAAGCTTCAGATGAACACCTCTAGCGCCATTTGAGGTTTGGAATTCACCAAATAATAGAGTATGAGCTAAAAAGGCATTTACATTCCAGCACCTGCCACTCATTATCTGCATCTATTTGGGCAAGGAATTAAACTTCTCTGAACTTAGGTTTCTTATCCTCAAAACAGGAAAAACACTACTCACGTGGCCCAGTTCACATAAGATTGTAGCACCAGCAGCAGCAGCAGTAGAAGTAGTAGTAGCAATACAACTTTCATTTTTTGAGTGCTTACTCTGTGCTGTGAACTGAAAACAACATGGTGAGGTGGGATACCATGTTTTACAGATGACGAAGCTGAGGCTCAGAAATAAGAACTTGCACAGGGTTGCACAGTCTGTTACTGGCAGAATCTAAGTGTGAACACCAAGTACTCTGACTTCAGAGGTCATGAACTTGTTCACATCTCAAAATGCATTCATATACATTCTCTAATGAGGTAATCCTGTTGACTGCACACAGTCATGTAAGGTGTTATTACTATATTTTTTTTAAAGTTGCTAAAATGTATTTTCTACTGGATACATAATACTATTCTTAGCAAAAGGACATCAACTCAAGAAACTATGGAAAAGGCATGAATGAATATGCAACTTGGAACCTGAAACAATGAAAAAATAAGACAAATAAAATAGATGTGACAGTTGGTGACATCATTTTGTACATTTGTGCATCCACTCACATCTGCACAGAGCCCCAGTCCACAAACATCAAATATCTCTCAAGACATCAATGGAAATTGCTGAAAGCATTACAAAGAGCTGGGAGATTTGTTGTGTGTGACTCCACAAGCCAATGCTGATGACTTGGCAGGCCGCTCACAAGAGGTTATTAGGGACATAGGACAAGCATGTTAGGCTGTTAATAGCCTGTGGCCAAATCTCTCAGGGAAAACAAAGTGCGGCAAGTTAGCAGAGCCGAGCATCTAGACAATGCTTTAGCCTCCTATTTGGTAGCCAAAAACAATTATGGTGAACTGGAAAGCTAACAAAGACATATCAACTATCCCTACACTGGCATATTTCTAAGTGTTTAAACCAGAGGAAAGATTTCATTCTCCAAGAACAGGCCAACGGAAATATGGCTAAATTCATGTTATTTGGTTGCAAACACTTTTCCCAGAAGTAAGCTCAAAAAAATTTGTTCTCTATATTTCTCCTCTACTTTTCTATTTTTTTCTATGAGACTATCCTCACTCCTTCCAGAGCCCCAGGCTATCCCTCACATATGTCATCTCAGGCAGCAAAGTCCCAACAGCTCCTGGCCATCCTACCTCTTCCTTTACTGTGCTGCTGCTCTGTTTCTTCTAAAAGAGATAAAACAACATCCCAAGACCACAGTGTACAGTTTCATAGACTGTTCACTACATAATCTCAGGTGGTGATCCCCTCGCAGAAATGGTTTCACTCTCATCCTGGATATGGGCAGTGCACAATGTGTACAACCAAACTCAGCAGCCCTGTGTACAGATCCAACACCAGAACAGGCATGAAGAGTTTTCTGCATTCATCTGTTCATTTACTCATTCAACTCACACAGATTTATTGTGTCTAGTGTGCACCAGACACTTGACAGGTCCTAGGCAAATACCAGTAAATAATAGTGTGCAATCCCCGCCCTCAAGGAACTCACGGTCCAGACATGTCAACAATGAGTAATATTACAGAATAAAGCACATTATGTCTGGGAGGTAGTCTAAAACAGGAGAAAATCCAGACGCGGTCCTAGCACTGAGGAAGGGAGGGCACGTCTTACCACATTGGGGTTGACCTTATGTCGAAAGCATGTAATGTTCACCACATAAGGCCAATCGTCAGGCTCCATCAATACCCCAGCAGCATGGGCACAAGTGACATGGAAGGAGGCCGGGCAGCGACCGTAGGAACACTGGATGCAGGCTCCAGAGACCCTCTTAACCCGGTGTCTGCAGAAGATGCATTTCTGGAAGGTTAAAACAGAGAAGAACATCAATTCACGTTCTGTAACCCAGTCAGTTCCCACAATTTACAGAACAATAGCTACTAGAAAAGAAAAAAAAAGAAAAAACTGATTACATCAAGAAGTCCTGACCCTCCAGGGGCCCTAGTGGTGAGAGCATCTGTGGCAATGTAATCTACTTACTTTAAAAGCAGCACACTGCTATGGTCACAGACTACCAGACATATGTTTAACTATTTCTTGTAGCAAGGAAAGCCAAACACTTCTGCACATACTCCCATAGGCACAGAGCTCAGGAAAAGACCCCAGAGGTGCTCCTATAAATAATCCATGAATGCTGAAGCTACTTCTGTTTTACCCTCCTGTACTGCAGGTCTTTCTGTGCAACAAGAAGTAGAATATGGGTTTGGAGGACAGGTCATTCTTTCATAAATTAGATGTGGTCTTCAAAAACACCCAAACAGCATAGGGGCAAGTTAAGTTTTCCAAAGACAAGGAAATGTAAAGTGTTAAATGGTCCAATGTGGAAACTAGTGTTTAATAATCCAAATCTGAACCCTTCATGACTGACAAAAAAAAATATGCCTCCCAAAGGGAGAAAATTGAAAATCACCCCAAAGGGCATAATTTGGTTGAATATCTATAGCTGATGATGCCTGTGGAAGAGAAGATGAAAATAAAAACAGCAATAATGATTACCACAATTCAAAAAGTAAATTGCATACAATTAGCCCTAAACATTATCGGTACATTTGTTATGAGAGAGAGAGAGAAAAACAGCTTCACTAAATGTAAGTTGTGAACTAATACTCGAGGGTTAGGAAAAAATGGCTGTAGAAAAACACAGGGTCAGCTCTGGAAAGCAGAAGAAACAATGATCAAAAGCTCAAATTTTCATTCCGAAGAGTAAAAAAGGTCTGAAATCTGATCAAATGTTGGTGCTCTTCTTTTACAGGTAGATTTTTTTTCCTGGGACAATAAAGGTACTTAAACTCAAACCCTTCTAAAAACTAATATTTTATCAGAGACTTGCAAGAACCAATGTGCATTTAACTCCTAACTCTTCATGTCCTGACATCTGATCAGTGACTTAATCTTTTAGATTCTGTCTCTTAATCTTACCCTGATCTCTCCCTACCATCCATACCAACTGCCACTGCCTCCGTCCATGGTGTCTTGCCCAGCATCGTAATGGATTCCCAACGTGTATCTCCATCCTTTATTTCATTCTATCTCCATTTGTCTTCCCCAAAGCTGCCAGAGTGATTCTTTACAACATGAATCTCATGTCACCACCACAGTACTTAATATCCTTCATATAATTAAAGGTTTCTCTTTATCTCCAAGTCATTCCAAAAAAAAAAAGGAAAAGCATTAGGTGGAAGAGCAAAGCTTATAAAAGGCCCTTCATGATCTAAGTGTTACTTCTCACTAGTCCCCATAAGGACCCTACACGTTAAGTACTTATGTGATTTCCTTATACATCGAGATTCGATGTATAATTAAGCATTTTTAAGTGGAGATTGAGGATACAGCTTAGCTGATTAAAAAAAAAAATCACACACAGCTGGGCGCGGTGGCGCATGCTTGTAATCCCAGCACTTTGGGAGGCCAAGGCAGGCAGATCACGAGGTCAGGAGATCGAGACCATCCTGGCTAACACGGTGAAACCCCATCTCTACTAAAAATACAAAACAAAACAAAAAAAAATTAGCCAGGCGTGGTGGCGGGCGCCTGTAGTCCCAGCTACTCGGGAGGCTGAGGCAGGAGAATGGCGTGAACCCAGGAGGTGGAGCTTGCCATGAGGGGAGATCGTGCCACTGCACTCAGCCTGGGCGACAGAGAAAGACTCCATCTCAATGAAAATAAAATAAATAAATAAATAAATAAAATAAAAATTAAAAATCACACACATGTATATACACACACAAATAGAGAGAACCATAAAACTAAAAAGACATCATAATCTGCCTAAGAGCACGATTTAATATTCTATCATGGTATCTCTTAGAAATCCATGCTATCAGTTTCATTACATTGTTCGTAATTTTTAGTATTTTGGTATCTTTTTGTCAGTTCCAATTACTTGAAATGTGATGGCAGATACAAAAGCAAAAACTCCTATTAGGAGCCCTAGGCATTTTCAATCTTTTAAGAGTCTAATTATACAACACAGAGGTCAGTGTTTGAATAAGTTAAGATATTGACAGGTATATAAAAGGTGAAATGATGTCTTATTTTCCTAATTAAATAAGATCTTTTAAGAGTAGGACAGAGTGTTGTGACTTAGCTAATTAAAGCATTGGTATCTCCCAACCTCCATCACCATTAACTTCCTCACCAAAGGATTAAGAAGACAGAATACACTTAAGCCCAGAGAGGATTCAATCCTTGGAATCTAAGGAGAGACTTGCCCTATTCCAGGAGGACCAGAAGTGGTGACTTCTAAGGACAGAACCACAGTTTCCTTAGAAAGTCAACCTAACAATAAACTATTACAACTCAATGCTTTGCAAGATGTTTATTCAGAGTTGAGAAGACTTAAACATCACATAGGTTCTTGCAGAGACACAGAACCCACAACGGGAGCCGTTGTGAATGCATCCTATAAGACAGTTAACATAGTGTTTCAGACCCCCATTTTCATTTGCTTGTTGCTAAAATGGTTTTTTCCCACCCTGGCAGAAAAATCTCTGGAATTTGATGCCTACAGATACCTGGGCTACAGAATGGAATCTAGTAGGTTTAAGACATCTATGTGCACTTAAGAATGTTACAACGAAATACGTGCTATGAAAGAAGTGAACGAACCGCTACCTGGCACTAGAATAATATGAACAGGCATGGTACAATGAATGAATCATGCCTGGGGACAACAGAGAGAAGAAAGCTTTAAGAAAAGTAAAGACGGACTGGATCAAGGTGGTACACTCAATCCCTGCTACCATCTATCCAGGCCCAACCCCTACATAACTATGTAGGAAAAAGGATGAAGCCAAAACAGCACTGACAAATAAGAGACAGTGCCATCAGAGGACCAGAAAATTTATGGAATTCCTAGATCATGGGAAACAGGTGGAATTAAACCAACAGAGAAACCAAAGAAGATAAGAACTAATGCAAAATAAGTGTTTGGCAAAGAATATCCTTTAGGCAAAGGATACCAAAGGAATAAGAATAATTCTCAGCCCCAAAGCCTCAGAGCCACCCCAAACCAAGTATCCACAATAAAAAAAGAAAAACAAGAAAAAAGGAAAAAAAAAAAAAAAAAAAAAGAAAGAATCCATAATTAAAAGAAGCAGAAACCCTGGGTCAACATGAGGTCGTTATTTTAAAAACAGTGCCACTCAGAATGTTTTTAACATGATGCTTCTAAAGATCTTAAGGCTGGGAGTGGTGGCTCATAATCGCCTATAATCCCAGTACTTTGGAAGGCTGAGGCAGGTGGATCACCTGAGGTCAGGAGTTCAAGATCAGCCTGGCCAACATGGCAAAACCCCGTCTCTACTAAAAACACAAAAATTAGCCAGGCGTTGTGGTGAGCACCTGTAATCCCAGCTACTCAGGCAGCTGAGGCAGGAGAATCACTTGAAGCCAGGAGGCAGAGGTTGCAGTGAGCTGAGATCACAGCACTGCAGTCCAGTCTGGGTAACAGAGTGAGACTCTGTCTCAAAAAAAGGAAAAAAAAACCAAAAATCTTTATGCATACTAAGATTTGGTAAACACTGCTATAGGATAGGTGGGCTAGTTAACGTTTTCTCTATCCCTAGCCTACTGAGAAACTGACAATTCTTTGTAAATTTTATATTAGAGACAGGGTTTTGCCATGCTGCCCAGGCTGGATTTCAAAATCCTGAGCTCAAACAATTTGCCTGCTTTGGCCTTCCAAAGTGTTGGGATTACAGGCATGAGCCATCATGCCCAGCCTTGATTTTGCCTTCAGAATAAAGCCATGAGAATTACCAGAAAACCAAAGTAAATGATATGCCAGGGCAGAGCTCCTGTCTCATCTGAGAGTCAAGGCTAGAGAGGGAAGTAGAAAAAAAACCTTGAATCAACCCCAAACTCAAGATAAATTAAGTTTCTGTATAAAAATATATATTAAAAATAAAAATTAAAAAATAAAATAATAAAATTTAAAAATAAAATTGGAAAAACTGAAAATTGAAAAGTGTGTGTTCTGTAGGGAGGGGAATGAAAGAAGGTTAGAGAGCACAGGATTCCAGGGAGCTGATCGCCCAGCCAAAAGCTGTTAGTGGGTATCTCTCACAGGACAGTTCTGACAAGGCTGATGTCAAGAAGAGAAGTGGCTCTGTTCTGCCCCAAGGTTCCAACACATCTGGGTGGGGCCACTGAATTTGCATTTTTAACAAGTTTCCAGTGATACTGATGCTGTTGATCCACAGCTTACACTTTGAGAACCATGAGGTTACAGGGTTAAAAAGTGAAAAGGTGTCACTCATGCTGACAGCTTCTAGTACAAGGGAGTTAAGGAAGCGCAATGATTTTTTTTCACCTATTCTTCAGTGTCAAGGGCTGAGAGAATCCTCAGGCCAGTGTGATTTATAGAGCACTGTACTTTCTTGGGGGACTGGATTTCCATACTTATTCCAGTGGCATAGGCCATTAAGGCTACTAATGGATTGCAGAAGTAATGAAGTATCTGGCAATGAGGCTTTGTGTATCATTAGATTTCCTTCAGCATCCAGCTTGGCAAAGGGCATCAAGAAATGATGAGCTGTGAAGGAGCTGAAGGTTCAAAGCACATCTCCTTCCCCTTTTTCCTGTTAATATGATTTCTGACATTATTTTGTTGTTGTTTTGCCAGTTTTATGATTCTTTTTTCTTACACAAATAGGCAGGTAATTCCAAAACAGGTGTGAATGCTTTTTAATTGTTGTTTCATGATCAAGTCACAGGCTAATGATAATGATACATTAGCTAATTTCTTTCTCCTTTTGCCCCCTAAAGACACTTTTTCTAAGCAGCAAGTTAACATTCCC